GGGGGGGGGGGGGGGTGTATTACATGATAACCGTGGCGACAATACATCCATATGTTATCACACTTGGCAACACAACCATAATTTTGCTGAAGCTTTTGCAATGCAACATGGGATTTATAGAAATGGGTTTGGGAGGAAAATGGTGGAATCAGACTTTGGAAATTCATCCAATTGATAAAGGAACCACAAAGCTCCACGAAATGTGAAAAGAGCATAATGCACATAAAGAGCTTGCTGCCCCTTGTGAGGCTCTATATGGTCGACCTCCCCCATTACATTTGCCATATCTACCTGGTGAGCCTGCTTCAGCAGAGGTCGACAACACTTTGTTACAAAGGGAGTTGAAGTTGCAACTACTTAAACATCACTTGCATAGGGCTCAATTGAGGATGAAACAACAGGCTGACTCTCACAGGACTGACAGGAGCTGTAGGAGACTGGGTATACCTTAAGATACAGACTATAAGCAGTCTACCTTGTCTTCTCAACCATTCCACAAATTGGCTGCCAAATATTATGGTCCATTTCAGATACTCAAGCGAGTTGGACCTGTTGCCTATACATTGCTATTTCCACCATCAGTAAAGATTCATCCTACAGTCCATGTATCTCTCTTAAAGAAGTGCCATGCAGTCCCTGATCAGATTGCATACCCTCCTACTATTGACATTGCTAACCCCCATTGTCCTAATCCTGAAGCTATTCTACAAAGGCATATGGTGAAGAAGGGAAATAAAGCTGTTGGCCAAGTACTAGTCAAATGGTCTGGACTGTCAGCAGATCATGCCACATGGGAATACTTCAATGTTCTTAAGACCAGGTTTCCTCATTTTGATCCTTGAGGTCAAGGATCTTTTGCAGATGGGAGTATTGATACGCAAATTGTAAGCTGAAGAAGCTATGGAAGCCACGTCAGCAGAAGTCGTTAGAGTTAGTTACAAAACAGTTAAGAGTTAGTTAGAATAGGTAGTTGAATTCAACAGACCGAGCTGTAATTTTCAATCCCAATCGAGTAGTATAAATAATTGTACTGAGTTCATTACATCAATAAGAAAGGATTACAACTTCCTATTTTAATTCTTCTTCTTCCAATCTTCTTCTCCTCCATTTCTGGGCCTGTAGATCTCCTGTGCAGCTGTTGAATTCTCGAATTACATTCCTGAATTTAAGTGTAGTTAACAATTCTGTTAACATTACATGCCAAGGTTCTCGATCTCACCACAAGCACCAATTCTCAAAACAACATAACATCACATTTGGGGGGCTTGATCAGAAGAATTCAGAACCCTAAGGAAATTTATTTTGCATATAAAGCATGAGTTCAGGCCTTAAATTGCAATCTTAGCGGCAAACCAATAGTCTTATCAAATAGCCAATTTGCTATAAATGGAACTGTCTAATCTCCAACAAGGGTGGGTAGATTATGGGGAGAGAGGTTGATGTAATTTATCTAGACAAAGGCCATAATTCTAGTGTTTCACTTTTTCCCCTCCCCTGGCATTCTTTAGGTTATCATTTTTCAAATTTTATTCTGGTTTAACACATACATGATCCTCTCAAGACTAAACGCACACGAAGGTGACAGGAATTAGAAATGATTTGACAAAGAATCTTGTCCTTGTGATTTCTTGATACTATAGGTAAAGAAGGAATTTTTTTTTTTGATAATGTAGATGAATAAGCAATTAGAAGACACATTGGGCTCTGATTATGCTTCACATGACAAGCTTCACGGTGGTATTCATTCTATCGTTCAACATATATCCAGAAGAAAATAGAAAAGTTAATAAGTAATTTCGGGGAGTTTCATTTTCACTATTTAAAGAAGCTAATGGACTTGCAGCCTCCTTATCGAAATACAACCATAACCTAGAGGAGAGGGAGGAATACCACACCTCAGCAGCCAACGACACGTCAGGGGTCATCTCACAGGAGACAAATCTGATATGGCAGCTTTTAGAGCCAAAAAATCAGTGACTCTAATCTACATAACATACACCACAGTTGGAATCAGCCCTCTAATAGAACTTTTTTGCAAGCTTCATTGTTTAAAAGGAGGCAGTCCTCTTTACCTTCTGTATTTTTGTTTATTTACTTAATTTGATCAAACCTTGTGAATAGGATGAGTCCTGTACATATGAATTGCGAGAAAGAGTCATTTAGTATCCCCAATTCCCCTTTTGTGCATTTCCCTATAGTAAAGAATTGAGTTTTTTCAATTCTAACATAGGATATGAGGAGGTAAGGCATCACATCTCCGTCCTTCATATTTTTAAATTTTTATATTAATATACAGGGTAGGTATCAAATCCGAACCTAAATCACCACAAGGTGGAATTAACCAACAAAAAAGATGTAGAGAAAATACCAAAACCAGATATTATTTCAGAACCTAGCACTAATAATCCAATGATTCACGCAAAGGCCTCAATCATCTTGTGTCCACTCTGCCTAGAGCAAAACATGCCTTTAAAATGTTGTTCAAGACAACAATTTTTATCTATATCCTCTATCTTACATTGGAACAATATACCGTCACCTAATAACATTTTTGTTTCATGAAATAGCCACAGAATAAAAAGGATAAATGTTTACAAGAACTGCAAGCTATACAATATGATATATGGATTCACACCAATTCGAAGTCTTGTTCTATACTTGATTTGAAAAAAAGTGCAAAGAGCATAGCAGCTAGGATAAAGCAGAACTCTTATAAGTTATCAGCTACATGATTGTGAGATTTCATGATTACGACGTCCCTGGTCAGCTATCAACAGGGGATCTGATAAATGGACTTTGGGCCTAACTCAACTCCAAAGGCTAGCTTATGAGGTGAGGATTGCCCAAGACCATAGAAGAAGACCAAGGACCTCAAATCCCTCCGATGTGGGACAACTCAACAGGATCAACAAGGGTTTCTACACAGATTTCTGCATGTTGACATCCCCTAAGTCCAGTGACTTCCACTTTTCTGGTGGAACCATCCTTTGGGTTTTATATCATGATTGTTGGGGGAAGCAATAGTGAGATTTCCCCATTATTTGGCTGGCAAAAATATGTAGAGAAAGAAAAAATGGATGAAGTGAACATATATTCCCCAATATATTGAGGATATTTGATGGTGAACATCTTTGTCCAAGATGCATTAACTCCACAATCCTTCATCATCCACACATCAGAAGTAGTTCCTTCACGACAAATACAAAGCAACGCAAGATCACTTCCCATCCCTCCCAGCATCAAACGAGAATTGGCTTCTCCATAATTAGGAAGCTCCAACTTGCCCCATGTCTCATCTGTTAAATCAAGAGTTATGAGGTTGCAAACATTGAGCTCATCAACATCAGCAGTTGAAGCCCAATAAATCTTCCCATTGACATATTTGCCTAAATAATCTCTCGGAAAGTAACCCGGAAAGTTATTGACTCTTCTCCAAGAATCAGTCCTCAAACTGTAAATGTTGACCACAGTACCAAATGAACCACCATCATCAGAAGTACCGCAAATAATTACTACTTTATAATCGTCATGTAACTCATCATATCCAAAACCATGTCTGTAATAAGAGGAGCCAGGCCTCATTTGAACATCTAACTTACGCAATTTCTTGGACTTCCTAATTGTTGGATTCCATATAAATGCCTCCTTAAAGTCAATCAAAAAACAAATCAGTCCATTGGCAGAACCCACAATCCAACGAGGGGTTTTTTTCACGGGAGAATCAATGTCAAATACCTGAGCCCTAGTTCCTTTTTGAAACAAGGAAGGGAGACAACATACCTTGAATTTGCTTTTGAAGTGTTCAAATATAACCCTATGGCTGCTGAATGCTTTGTCATTAGCTGCTAATTTCATATGGGTTTTCACAAAATAAGGGCTAGAGATTAGTTGAAGCCATGACTTTGAAACGCACTTGAATTTAAACAAGGGTTTTGGACGCAGCTTTAAGAGGATCTCCGTGATGAGTTCTACAGGAAGAACAGGGATTACAGAAGCACCCATTGTAGTTGAAGAGAGGTAAGTTTGATTGAGAGAATTTAGTGTAAAAATTAAAATGGCTTATATAGTTGGACAATACTTTTATTTCGAGAAAAGCCCAAAATAGTGCCCCTACACCATCTCCAACCTTGCCCCCATCCTTGTAACGGGGAAATTTAGCTCCAATCCTTCCCTATTTTTGTCCTCAAAATAGGGATGAATAGTGTTCCCTCAAATATAGGGTACACTATTCATCTCCCAATTACTATTCATCAATTTATTATTATTATTTTATTATTTAATATTTTAATTTATCTCTTTATATATACCTAATTATATTTATGTAATATCTTTATAATATTAATATTATATCTTAACTTTGGTGTATAATTTTGATAAATTAATTTTTGTGCATTTATTTTTATGTAAAATTATAAGTTAATTTTATTATAAGTTAATTGTACAAATATATAATTATCTCAAAAAATGAATGGTGCAAATATAAAATATTAGATGTTGTTAAAATTGAAAGGTGCAAATATAAAAAAGAAAAATTCCATATTAAAACAACTGAGCTGTCTTCTTTTCAACTTTATAGCTCATATTTCAATGTACAATTGAATAGCCCAAAAATTAGAGGCCCATATCCGAAAAAGGGCGTTATTTCCGTTTTTGGGGAGTAATAAACGGGATTTTCTTTGTTTCAGCTGGATTTTCTCTGATTCTTTCCAATCTTCTTCCCCAAATACTACAAAAACGAGATCTTGCGATCAATGCAGCTCCAAACACCCTAGAATTTCTTTTTCATCTCGAATTTCTTCAATTTTTTTGCTACAAATCAGCGCAATTCTCATTTTTTGCTGCAATTTTGATTTCAATTTTTTGTTCGATTGAGCTTTTTCCAGTTTACGTTCTTCATAGTGGTGAATGGGAAGAAAACAAGTTTATCAATTTCGTCAGCGATTGTGTAATAATCGAGTCGACATTCAACTACAACAATTTAGTTGCAGCTATTTCGAAACAGATTAGGATCGATAGTGAGTTAAACACAATAGAGATTAACTTTCTCCCAAATGATGGTTTGCAACCGATTATGATATATAATGATACAGGTGTAAATGTGTATATCGAATTAAAGAAGAAAAACTTGAATTTCATTGAATATCCCTTGTTTGTGACAGTGAAAGAGATTTATGATAATCGTTTGGTTGCTACAAGTTCCAGTTGTTTGGTTGATACAAGTTCAAGTTGTTTGTTTGTTACAAGTTCCAATTCTACAGATGTATCCACAATTGATAGCACTGAGATTATGCCTGATATCGAATTGATTGAAAACACGAAACTTAGTGAAAACACGGGTGTAATAGATAATTTGTTGAACGAATTTATTGAGGAGGATCAAGTTTATAAAGATAAAGAGACAGTTATGAATGTGATGAAGAACTTGGCCGTACGCGAGAGGTTCCAATTCAAGGTGAAGAGATCTAGTGCAACAAGGCATGTCATTAATTGTATATTCTGTTATATATATGTATAAATATGTATAAATTAGTATATATTTGTATATAGGCATTAAAATTAGTATATATGTAGTTATGTTTTTGTATACAAGTGTATTTAGAAGTTGAATGATCTTTAATCCTAGGTATCACCTTATGTGTGTGGATGACAATTGTGCTTGGAGTTTCAAATCTTCTGCCGTTTTCAAGGCAAACATATTCAAAGTGAGAAGTTACAATAATAATCACGCATGCGGCTATGGTGAAAGATACTTAACACAACGTCAAGCTACTTCGGGTGTAATTGCTAGTATAGTCAAGGATAAGTTTGTTAATCCAAAAAAAATTTACACCGCAAATGATATAATAGAGAACATACAAAAGCAACATGAGATTGAAGTGAGCTACATGAAAGCATGGAGAGCTAAAGAGATAGCAATGACAATGATAAGAGGGAGTCCGAGTGATTCATATAAGGAGTTGCCGAAGTATTTTTATATGTTGGAGCAAACAAATCCAGGAACGGTTACAAAGTTGCACAAATTAGAAGATGGATGCTTTCTTTATACATATGTTTCGCTATATGCATCTTTCAAGGGCTGAGAACATTGCAGACCGATAATGGTTGTTGACGGAAGTTTCCTTAAAGCAGCATATAAGGGTGCCATCTTGACTGCTTGCACACAGGATGGAGCTGATGAGTTGACTGTATCTACCTTGTTTTTGCAGTTTGTATAATATTGTAGTTTCATGTATAAAAGTGTATAGGATTTCACAGCTGTTGTTTTTATAAAATTTGCAGTTGGTATAAAGTTGTATAATTGTGTATAACTGTGTATAAGATTTGTATAATTGTCTGAATCCTAATATCTATTTTATATAAACAGGAAAAATCCTTCCACTTGCATATGCAATTGTAGATTCAAAGAATAACAAATCTTGGGAATGGTTCTTTGTCCAGATAAAGGGTACTTTTGGAGTTAGGGAAGGGATGTGTATAGTTTCAGATAGAAATGAAAGCATCTTCAATGCCACAAAAGTTGTGTACCCAGAAGTACCACATTGTATTTGCATGTTTCACTTATGGCAGAATGTAAAGCGCACATTCAAGAAACATCACAAACAATTGAAGGATATCTTCTTTGCTTTGGCTAGAGCTTACACGATAGAGAAGTTTGAGTACCATATGACAGAGATGTGCAAAATTGATCCGAGGGTGCAGCCTTACTTGTTCGAAGTTGGCTACGAAAGGTGGTCTAGGGCATATTCCAAAGTGAAAAGGTCAATGGTAATGACTTCTAATATTGCAAAGTCAATTAATGCAGCTAACAAGGATGCTAGAGAGTTACCAGTAATGCGATTGCTGGAGTACATGACAAATTTGCTACAACAGTGGAACAACAAAAACAGAAAAAGTGCAATGGAGACATTTACAGAGCTTGGTGAAAAGTATGACAAACTCCTTCGAGAAAATCTGATTGCATCGGAGCAAATAACGGTAAAATCAATCAAATATAATGATGCTTGGCACTGCTGACTTGCATTTTACTGCTTGTATAAGTATGTATAACTCTGTATATTAATGTATAATGTTCTTTAACTTTTTTTTTAAAAAAAAACTTTTGCAGGTGAGCCCTGCTACGGAGCAGTTATATACTGTGTTTGAAGGGGTAAAGCGAAACATAGTGTGCCTTGAAGAGGGAACATGCAGTTGCAAAAAATTTCAAATGGATGAACTTCCATGTCCGCATGCTTGGGCGGTTTTGAAGAACCAGCAGCTGAAACCTAGACAATATTGCTCTTTTTACTACAAGAAGGATAAACTCCTTAGAACTTATGAATTTCCAGTGAATCTGATGCTAGATGAGAGTTTATGGGTAATCCCAATAGAGGTGAAGGAAGATGTGGTCCTACCACCTAAAGGGAGAAGGAAAGCAGGAAGACCAAGAAAGGAAAGACTCAGACCTGCTTCAGAAAAAGAGTTTAAGAGGGCGTTTTCATGTTCTGTGTGTGGACAAGGTGGTCACAATAAAAAAACATGTAGAAATCGACCAAAATAAATAGTTGGAAACATAACACTTCCTATTACAGTTGTTGTCATGTTGAGTAGTTAAGTTTCACAAACAATAGAGTTATAAATGTTGAGTAGTTAAGTTTCACAAGCAATTAAGTATTGAAGGGTGAAGGGGCAGATTCACTATTCGTTAAGCTTTTGAACTGGAAACATCAGATTTGTCCATTATTTAAAGCCAAAAAATTTCAAAATTTCCTGAAATTATTCCATAGGTGCTGATAATTTTTGCTATTCCTCATCAAGTGCGTGTGTATTTGTAAGTCTGTCATGTCATATGTTGAATTATCCATCGCTGGTAACTGGGAAATGGGAGATTTGGTCTCCTTATATGATCTTGAATAATTATAGCTAGCTTTTGAGGTTTCTTTAGGCCAAGACACATTCTCTTATGAAAATATTCATTAAAATGTAATTCATTCACAGCCACAACGTGTAATGACTACCACAAATTACACAAAAATAAAAACATCTATAATATCCTTTAAGGTTATCTCACAAGTAGCAGAATAGTACTTAGACAAAACTATACAACAACTCCTAATACATAGAAAAACTACAGTAAAATGGAAAAAACAGAACTACTTTCTCGGTCGTCCCCTCTTCCTCTTCCTGAAAAGTCTCCCTGTAATTTCATCACCACTAATTGCACCGGACTGCTATTTTTCCCTTCCATAATCCCATAACAGAGATCTACACTTGGTGCGAAGTGTCTCAATGTCAAAATTATCTTTTCGAATTTTCTTACCAAGGATGAAATACTCAGCAAAGCCAGCAACAAAAGCACCACAATCACCTGTAATTAAAAGAAACAAATCAGATTCAAATAGGTACACTAATAGTAAAATAGTAAAACAATTGAGATTAACCTACCATTTGATCTGGTGGGGCACATTATTAACCAGATTAATATGCAAAGCATCAGAATGGGATTTATCGGTATATGCACCATTGTTCTAATTAATGCCCTTCTTCTCGACATAAAAATCAGAACTCTTCAAGAAGTAAGGTATCAGAATTGCATAAGGTAATGCAACATCCAAAGCAAGTCTATCATTAATAGCTCCACGGTTAGAGTCATAGATGTGGATGCACCTATCTATGAACGTAAACAACCCCAAAAAACCCAATGGCCCAATTTTGCTCTTTCGTGCTTCACATAGATAGGGAATAAGACGTGGTCAACAGTGTGCCACGGTACATTTGCATCACAATAATATCCTCTAATGTACTCTTCTATCTCATGCCTTTCAGGAATCACTAAAGGACTTCATTTACTTTGAAATCTTTATACAGGGAGTTGATTTTGTTACCAAAGGCAAAGTCTTTTGTAGTAAACCGCATGGCAACACTCGGCCCATATTTTCCCCTCTTCCTCAAATAATAAAAGAGGACATCCAAGTGTTGAGACAAGAAATAAAACAGAACAACTATCACTGCCAGATTTTTTAAATATAAAAATTTATACACTATTATGCAGAGATATACATATTTATACAAGGTTATATAATCTTATACAATCTTATACAATATTATATTGTGATTATACAAAGCTATGTATACACTATGGGGGTCTCAAATTATAAAGATATGCAACAAATAAAAAAAGGCATTAGAACAGAAATTGATTAAATACCGTGTCAATCAAAGGTCGACCACAATATGCAAGTGAGTGAAACCAATCCTTCGTGGTCACATGACACGAGCCAAAAGTAAAAGCTTCTGCAAGCTTATTTACTTCATCGGGATATATATTTTTGGCACTTCAAATCACAAAAAATAAAAAGTAATCAGAACTACATTCATTGACAAGTATAAAATTAGAACATGAAAGATTAAAGAAAGTGAAGATACCTTCGCCTCGTATCCATCCCATAATCAACAAATGCGCAAAACTCTTTAGCCAATGGCGATAATGGATCAAAATCATCAATTTCGATTGTGAAAGGATGCTTGATATAAAAAATAAGCTTGTGCGCCGATCCTGATGCTCCCGAATCAAAAACTGGCAAATATGGAGATTTGGCATATTTTCCTGGTATTTTTTGTCGAACTGACTGTTCAGGAGAAATGTAATCATCTTCTACGTCTATGATGGATTATTTGTGAAGCACAATTTGGGACATTTGTAGCGCAGCTAAATCTTCATCGCCAATGTCATCCCAAAATGTGCCACCCTTGACATCACCTGTTGCCCCTTAGACAGAGAAAATAAATAATAAAAAACTTTAAAAATGATGAAAAGAAAAATCAGACAAAAAAAGATAAAATGCAGAACAAATACCATGATCAACACCATCAGTAACTCCCTTGTCAGCTAGCACGTTATCTTGATTCACTTGATTGACAAAGTCAGCAACAACATCATATTGATAGCCATCAAATTCGCCGAGACCAGATGTATTGTCATCAGACATGCGCTGAGGAATCTAATAAAAAACATAGAAAGAGAAGGCATGTTGAGTGATGATTCAGAGAATGCATAACTGTTGAGTAATTTGGTTTTATCAGTAAATAATTACCTTATAATCAGTAACATCCTCCCCCGTTTGCTTGTTTTCATTCATATTCAGAAAACTGAACACTTTTTCAAAGGAAGAAACTACATAATTGCTGAGTGTCGTCACTATATCAGTCAACTACAAAAAAAAAGAAGCAAATCAACAACCATGTTTATAACCAAAAAACCATGTATATACAAAAAGTACTGATAAACTATAGAAAAGCTAAAGGTCCAGTACCTTTCAACAAGCACTCCACAACTTCTCAACTTCAACATTCAACAGATCAATGCGCACCAAAGGATTATAACTCGGGTTAGGTTGTCGATCCATATTCTGAGGAAAAGGTCATTTAGACTGTTGTTCCGTATTCTGAGGATAAGGTTGTTTAGACTGTTGCTCCATATTCTGAGAACAAGGTGGAGATGCAGTGACAGAATCATTAGTGTGAAAGGCAGGCACCACAAGCACCTCCTCTAATGCAACATCATCGGCATTAACTTCAAAAAACGTGTCGATGTTCAGAGTTGACATCTCTTTACGAGTAGGGGAAATGCTCCTATAGTTCAACTACAAGAAGAAAAACTGGATTACAATAGTAGAAAAAGGAAATTGTGACATATTCATAAATATACATACAGAAAAACTGAAATCATATATGAAGAAGTATTATGGTACAAAATGTTTACCTTGTCGATACTACACATGATCACCCCGCCAGTCAAATCCGTATATGTTGGAGTTTCAGTCACTTTCCAATTAAGAATGCGTGGCACATTTATGCCAACGCGAACAGCTAGATGCTTGTCAACCATAGAGCAACACTCAAAAACCCATATTTGTAATGCAAGTGGCAAACCTCCAAGCCTATACATTGTCAAATAGTCACATTGTCTATCCCTCATTGTCCTTAAAATATCTTCAAATGACTTTTTCCCCCAAACATACGTCTGATATTGACCACTTTCAATGATATTAAAATCATCTTTGTTGATACCAGGATTATTGGCATCTGAGAATATGAAATGATGGACAAACACCATCAAGGCCATCTTGAACACATCTTCGTCCGACTTCCAGTCCTTTTTCTTGAAGCGATCAAGAAGCTGCCCCCTCGTTATAGCCTTTTTTCCATCTCCTGGAAAGTACTCTTTTAGCACCCTATTAACATCTGGTTTGTCATAGAAAGTGGTGTCATCTTCTACACACTTCAAACCAGTGATAACATCAACCTCTCCAATGCCAAAATGCAGCAAACAACCATTAATTTTCACCCACAACTTCCTTTCATGTCCTGGGATGACTTCCCTCAATAATATACAATGAATAAGTTGATTTTGAATTTTAAATTGAGAGAGGTCCAAGAAGTACCCAAAACAACTAGCACGGAACATCTGAAGCTACGTGTCAGTCAAACATTGCTTCAAAATGCTCACAATATCAGTTTCAGTATGAGAACTAATCCTGTTGTGAAAATGATCAACTGGTTGTATATAGAAGTCCCCAACCTTGCATATGGAAAAAATAACAAGAAATAGATCAGGAACAAAAACTATACTAAAAAGTTTTATAAAAATATATAAATCAGTGTAGTAGTACTTGTATAAAGATGTATAAACACCTGTATAACTTTGTATAAAATTGTATAAGCATATATAATTTAATAGCAACACAGGGAATACCTTCAACTTAGCTTTTCTCTCATTCAATTTGCAGCGAATAGCAAACCTTTGTTCTTTCGATATGCAATCAAGACCACTCTCACCATCGTCCTTGATCTTTCTCCTTTACGGTTTAACATTGGGGCCTACATCATCTTCATTAACCAAATCAACTTTCAGCTTTTCTTTTGATTTTTCAGGTCTCCCACATTTCTTACTCCTTATTCTAACGATGTTAACCGGAGTAGGAGTATTACTTGTTTGCGAACGAGTCATTCGACTGCTCTCTTGTTGCAAGTTTTTTGTAGGAGCAGGAGACTCAAATCATCATTATCGGGAGCCTGGACATGCATATTCGCTTCAGAAGCAGGGGTTGAGGGCAAGTCCCTCGATGATTTAACTGGAGTGGGAGAATTCCTCGTTTGCGAACGAGTCATTCGACTGCTCTCTTGTTGCGAGTTTTTAGGAGGAGCAGGAGACTCAAAATCATTATCATCTGGTGCATGAACATTTACATTAGCTTCAGAATCAGGACTTGAGGGCAAGTCCCTCAATCATTTCGCATAATCGAACTTAACGCATTTTCCAGCAACCTTCATTTTGCTTTTAGAAGCAGGAATTTTTGAACGCATTGTCTACAATAAACCAAACAAACAAATCTTTAACAAAAGTGAAGATAACTGAAGGAAAACACAAAAATCAAAATGTAACAAAACTCAAAAGTGAACCAAAAATAAAGGCCATGAACACAAAGCAGAGGCTAATTTTCCCAACTTGTAACAAAACTCAAAAAATAAAAAATTCTACCCTAAAATTCGAAATAACAA